GCCGCCACCGCAGTAGGGCACTTTTGTAGACATGCATTTCTAAAAAAAAATATGTAGTACATTTTGAAGGCGTTACTTTGGCACTCAACGCACTTGAATTTCGTAGAGAACACATTTTCATTTTGCTATTTTTGCTTTCATTTTCGAGTTGAAAAGAACTTGGTGCGTTTGTGTGCGCCTTAGTGTACGACGCCATGTCGCATATTTGTCATAATTGAATTTGAATACAAGGCACTTGTGGCACATTAATGGCTGCAGAACAGGAGGTACTTTAAAGTGTGAGGTGTTTGTACGTATTTATTATGTATACTATAAATGGAATGCGAAAGCAAGTGACTTATTTGAGTGTAGAGTGAAAAGATTGAAATGTCTATGAAAACTGTTTCGAAAAGCGGTGAAGCATGTCAGCACAGTTCTTAGGTTTTTATAAAAGGTATTGGAATGCATAATTAGTCGGTCGTTGGTTAGTTTTTTCGGTGTTCAGTCACTCTGTAAGGGTAAGTAGGCTTTAATTAGCAGTCTCTAAAATTAAACTCGTTTATTTTGCTATGCCATCGGTTTTATAAGGTAATTCCTTAACGTTTTGTTGCATAAATTTGTTTATCTATACACTCTTTAATATATTCACCCTTTTATAGATCGGTAGTCCACAAAATAAATAAAATAAAAAGAAAAATACCAGGCATCAGTTCTTGAAATAAAATTCAAAGGTAAGTGTTAACTAATAACAGCTCTAAATTAAAAAAAAAAGGATGTATAAGAAGCGCGTCGCTTCATTAAAAATTAAAGAAATAAAAAGAAAAAATTACCAATCACTAAATTTCTGATGAAAACTTTAAATGTAATCAAAGCTCATACAAATCTTAGAAGTGTAGTAGGTAAGTAAATTAAATAAAACTTTGCCTCTAGTTTTAAATTAAGAAATCTGTGAAAGGAGATATCCGGAATCGGATGCTTTGCATACTTTTATCTGGCTTAGCTGAACTCAACTCAAGTTAGGATTATCCGGATTGCTGAAGCGTATTTCAAACAGCGGTGTGCACGATGAAAGAGACATTCGACTATTATCGTAATACCGATTAGAAAGGAAAATATGTACTCCGACACCCAAGTGACATCACCGCTCTAGTACTTACCCACCACATCTCAGTTCTTTCTACCCTAACGTACCACCTTAATGTCAGTAAATTAAAGCTCGCCAAAAAGCATTAAACTTTTGCTAAGGAAGTATTTCGACTCAAAGGCAATGTAGATGTTTTTCGCTTAACGTAGGGGATCGCCTTTTTGCATTTTCTCTCATATCTTTGGCACATAGAATCGGACCTTATAGTGTGATATATCTATGTTTTTGTCTCGATGAGAATTTTTTTGCACATTGTTTACGGAGACGGCAATTTATATGTTCAGAATTTCGCTAGGACCTAAAAATTTCGTTCAAATGGTTTCAAGGAATGTGGACAGTCTTTGGTAAGACATAAGTCTGGGTCTTTTCGGTTACGTAGATCCGACTATCGTGTAGCGAAAGCATAAAGTAGGTTGCGTTTGTCTGGTTGGTTTTAATAAATCTGCGGTTTAGAGCTCCCCGCATACTTTGAAGTCCATACAATTAACAAGTAATGCACAGTTCTAATTATCCTTCAGTATCGCCGTCCAAGCGGCAAGCAATGAGCGGGTGACTTTCAAAAGCGAAAAAGAATCGCATGAGTAAAGGTATTGAAAATGTCAATAAATACTTGAAAAGTTTGTTAGATTGTGTCGAAACTCCTTGTGTGTTTTGTGTGGTTTTTTTTTCTTTGGGTTTGACACATGTCAATTGTTTTGAAATGCAGTTATACTAATGACGCCTGCCTGCTGCACGGTTGTTGCGAGCATTTTGACATAATTAAATTTTTAAGAGGTAATTGTTGAGATTTATTTACTCGCATGCGTTCTTTTGTGGAGACATAAGGCAGATAAGCTCTGCAAAAAAGGAGAGAGGCTACATATAATCACCTTTCCAAGAAACAACACATAAAGATGTGCGTTGAGTGCATGACTTGGGTAAACTGAAGAGGTTAATGGCGGCATAAAAGCTTGCTGAATGCACATATTTAATTAAATTTAATAACATAAATGAAAAAAAAAATTGTAGATATGTATGAGCTAGAGTGAGGTTAGTTGCAAAAGTTATTTTCAATTTTTTTTTAAATCCGCTTTATGGCTCACTCGACTACTGCGGTGTCCATTAAATTTCTGCTAGTTTAATTTTTCCCGACAGTGAGACAAATCCATTCGCACAAAGCTAGCGACGTTCCAGAACGTTTTCCTAAATCTATGACTATCTAATGCAACACTGCAATCAGTACGTAAGAACGTGCGATAGCAAAAATCCAATAAAGCACCTTGGTGTGTAATAAAATTTCCTGTGCAATACACTATTGATTGCTGCACTACTTGGTCGGCCAAACGGAATAACAACAAACAGCTTAGCTTACTTGGTAGTAAATTAAGTATTAGCGCTAACTCGCAGAGGTGCAACCATATCAATCACAATAAATAAAATGGCAATAAAGTGAAATGGCCATAAAATGATAAAACAAGAAACTAGGAAAAGAAAAAGCATTGAAGCTGACCGGACACTCACTCACCTGTATGCGATCCTCAGCCAACCCCGTTTTCATCGAGAGCAATTCACGTGCGCTCACATCCGGATAGTGCGCCTCTTTGAAAGCTTTCTCCAACTCCTCCAGTTGATTGCTCGTAAATATAGTGCGCCCATGTCGACGTTTATTCTTCTTTTTACCACTCATCCCGGCGCCACCAGCACCGCCGAGCAGCACGCTAGGATCTCCACCATGTCCGAGCAGGCCATTAGGTGCGCCCACAACACTTCCGGCACCGGGTATGCCACTTCCCATGGCAGCGGCCGCTGCCGCCGCTGCTGCAGCAGCACCATTGAGGAATGCCTCATGTGTGGCGCCCGCATGCGGATGATGAGCGTGATGGGGGTGATGGTGCGCATGTGGATGGTGGTGTGCATGATGCGGATGATGTGGATGGTGGCTATGATGGGCGTGCGAATGTACATGCGGATGGTGGCCATGTTGATGATGCGAGTGCGCATGGTGTGCAGCCGCAGCTGCGGCGGCATGATGTGCCAAGGCGGCTGCGGCATGCTCAGCGGGTGAGAGTGTGGGACGTGTGGAAGGTGAGGTGTTGTGGTTGTTGCTGCTGCTGTTCGTGTTGCCGCTATTTGTAGCACCACCATTGGAGGAGGTTGTTGCACTGCCGTTGCTTGTGAGGCAGCTGCCATTCGTTGTAGACATGTGTGAGGTGCTGCTGCCGTTAGAGCCATTACTCGAATTCGCTTTGCTGGGTGAATGTGCATCATCGTTGTTGTTGTTATTGTTTAGGTTATTCGTGTAATCTTGGGCGCCACGTGCGGCTTGTTCTGTACGGAGAGAGGAAAAAGAGGAAGATATTTTTTAAACTATATTTGTGATTGGAAATAAATGTTTGATGTGAAGGAGAATAAATGGATTGAATTGAAATTATGCGAGGGTCAAGAAGGAGACAATAAACAGATAGGTCGATCAAGAACTGCACAAATACATTTTCGCCTACGTTTCAATGGCGTTTAGACTATTTTCTAAAACATTTCAACAGTTATGCTCACTCCATTAAAGCTACACATTTAAAGCAATTACTTTACTTACATCTCTATAATCGTTTTAAGCGAAATTCAAATGCCAATTCTGACACAAATATTTCCTGGTAACCCTTTCTCTTCAATACACTAATCGCTTAACAATTGTCAATTCACTTTCTCCGCCCTTTTACTCAGAGCATTCCACTTCATTTGGTAACAAAGGCTGAAGTAGCAAGCAAAGAATATGCACACGAATCGCCCACTTCAATCGAAATCGTACAAACATAATCCCCAAATAATCCCTCATACAATAACAACAAACCATTTTCTGCACTCTGTGCAGGCATATGCGCCTGTATCCTGTTTCACATGCCATAATTGGCATTAAATACCGCAACAGACACACACGACACATTCCCATTGTTGACAAAAGGTAAAATTATAATTTACTTAAACTATTTCCGATGCAGATTTCAAAATAATGGCTGAGTGTCCCTGACTGCCTGGCTGGCATACCAGCACGCTTGCCCAATTTTTTCGCCTTCATACCTACACTCAATACAAGAAAGGACTCAGCACTTGGTAAGTTGAGCCTTATT